TGAAGGATTTGTACAGTAATAGATCAAGTTGACGGTTTAGCCAAAAAACTGCAGCTCGCTGAGTGACTGATGTGCGGGATGGGGGACGGTTGACACAGGGACACAGTGTTTTCAGTCTCCCTTGAGTGTCATGGTTCGAGATTCTGCACCAGAGGAATGTATGTCGGCGAACGCTTGCTCGCTGTCGACTGAAGAATAAGCCGATCACGGGCTGAAGATTCTGCACCAGTGTCCTCAGCATGAGGCCCGACATGGCTCAAAGTCTACGAACGCCATCAGAGTGAAAAGGAGATCCCACCAAGTCAGTGCCCATAATTCGTGAAAGTTGTCCTGAATGTAGAAAACTAGTGGTAGCTCTCTTAAACAAGGATAACTTTGCTATGTCTTGATACTTCCGGGTAGCTTATTCCAGATTACTCTGGCGTTTATTGAAATAAATTGGCGGTATCTAACTGTGCGGACCAGAGGAAGAACTAAAAAACATCTCGATGACTGACGCGCCGAGAGTGGTCAAGCTGTCTTAGGGTATTTAGGGGATTAAAGGTAGGGCTGTTTAAATGTTTGAGCATTAAGGATACTCCCTTCTCTAATCTGTGTAGCAAAAAGGGATCGTGGTTATTAAGTTCAAATCGTTGCTGGTAGGGGAGGTCACGCTGGTCTGAAGGGAAAACTCTTTAAGTGAACAAATGCTGGACTGATTTTTTTGCCGTTCACTAGCGCGCGGAAGGCTAAATAGAAGCGAGCAGTATTCGAGACTAGGTCTTACGTGTATATTATAAAGGCTAGTTCTAAACTTGATGGTCTTAAAATTTCTGAGAATAGATCAGGTTGTTCGGCTTGCTTTCAAGACTGTCAGGTCGCAGTGCTCTGAAAGACAGACTATAAGAGTAGGATATGCCCAGATCCTTAATAACTCCGGCACATTTATTTCATGACCGTCTATGCTTAGTTTAGGCTGGGGATGATCGTCACCTAAAATCATAACGGATCATTTGTGCCAAGAAAGGGAGAGGCGCCATGTGTAGCACCACTGGGCAAAGGCCTGAAGGTCCTTTTTATGAGCTTGAACACGATGTTTCGATCTGCCGGTTTATATCGATAGGCGATTTTTAAATCGTCAGCGTACATAAAGGATCTATCATACTGAAAACAATTTGGCACGTCGTTGACAAAAAGGCAAAATAGGAGTGGGCCAAGTACGCCACCCTGAATATATCCACCCCTCGCATGCGTGGAGTGGGAGATGACATTAGAAATTTTGACTCATTGTGTGCGAGCATCCAAATAGGAGGATATTAAATTCAGAAGCTTGTTACCTATGCTAAAGCAAGCAAGTTTTAGGAGGAAGAAGAAATTATGGTCTACACGATCACAGGCCTGAGTGAAACCAAAATAGATCGTATGAAGGGCAAAACCACTGTCTCTAGCTTGTGGCACATAATCAAAGAAAGATAGCTGGCAGGTATCACATGATATTTTCTCGAGGAAACCATGCTAAGCCGCATTAAGTAGGTCGTTCTCTGTCAGACGTGGACCGGCCGCATTTGGGCATAGGCAGTATGTGTGATTCTTTCCATAACATAGGAAAAGTTTCGCTTTCAAGAGCAAGATTAAATATCTTACACAGAGGAAACGGAAAAATATCATTCGTTTCAGCTTTTAGAGGGCTGACTGGGACGCCATCTGGTCCTGGACTATGAGATTGACGAAAATAACCGATAGCTACGGTCACGTCCCAGAGGGAAAAACTTGTGGTTTCCAGGACGGCACCCGTCCAAGCCCGGATGGTCGGAAGTGCAGCAACCGAGTTTTCACTGAAGGTTTTGCATAAGAACGCATTAAAGCTATCAGCGGTCAACTTAGTGTCAACTATAGGATTTCATAAAGTATCTCGAAGTAAGGGGTGCTGTGATCTTCTCTGGGCTTTTACTGTGCGCGAAAACAGTTTCGCAGCATTTGGAATTTTGATTTTATATTTGCTAGCGCCAGGAAGGGTTTTCAGTAAAGTTGACCTCGTCGGCTAACTGTTTTTCTTCGGAGAGCTTATCGCGAGGTGTTTAGACTTACAAGGTTAACCCTAACATTTACGATCTTCCAGGCCCCTGGTTTTTTAGCGCGAGAGAGAGAAGAAGATGGAAAAGTCAGATTGTTAGGACAAGTGTACTCGGCAGTAGGATAGGAGAATAGATGGAAAGAGTTTTGACTCGCGGAATAGTGCATCCGTATCCTAGTCAGGTCGGGTCCGCAGTGACGAGGGCATCAGGCAACGTGACAGTGTCGGTGTATGCTTTTTAACGGCGGCCAGTGGCGTGGCTGATGTCTAGACTAGCGTGGGAGCGCGACCTTGAGATGGGCTCACGCGGCTTTGTAGGCTAAAGACGCCGTGTCAGCGGTTGATCTTGGGTTCCAAGTGACGGCAAGAGGCCCCTACAAGGGCTCCCCTCCTAGACTTTAGTTCATTGATGAAATAGATTGAACGACGGAAGATTAGTGAAGGATATGGAAGGCGGTACATACCAACGGTAGGGTTCAACCAGCTGGTCTTCGTGTGGCTGGCTTGCGGGAGCCAGGTTGAAGGGACAGTTGTGACTTGCATGACTTTCTGTGGCTAGTATGCGTGAGTCGGCTTATTTCCGCCAGCGCTGCTTGGGAGGAGGAAAGGTCATCTCCGTTCCACGTTCTCACACGCAACGACAAGACCTCGGCATTTTGGTGACAGACAACCTCAAACCTTCTACACAATGTTCAGTATCAGTTTATTGAGGGAAAGATAGGCGAATGCCTTTGAACTCCCTG